GGATGCAGGAGACTCACAGAAACTGGAATTGAGATGTCTCGACTCCCAGAAATTGGCTTTAAGCACAAAAATATGAGTGTTTAGAAAGGAGCAAAATACCTCTTAAATGAACTTACACAGAGATGATAAAGATTGAAATGGGCACATGCAGAGCATTAAGCATATTTAGTATCCTACTTTTTTGTAGAGATAAGCTGTTCTCAATAGTTTTTTGCAGAGCTAAGCAGTGGCACTATATAGGTAATGATTATGGGCTACTCCAATGAATGCACAAAGATAATTTCATTTCTGTGAGTAGTACAAGTGACTACAATGGGACTATTTCCATGTGTAAAGTTAGCCTGGAGCTTAAGTGTGGGCGAAATTGAATTGTGGGAATGATTGAATATATATATATATACTTCACCTCTTGCAAAAAGGCTATCAGGTAACAGAAATATGAAAGCTTGGTGTAGATCTTCTGTTCTGGAACATCAGTTATGGATTGTCTTGAAAAGTGGATGTGAAATCTACGTGTAATCCAGCATTGCAAAGCAAAAGAACTGGAAATGTAAGTGAAGAAGCAGTTGTTAAGATATTGTGTTCTCTTATGGTTATGAAAATCTTTCATCTGAGGCTTTCAAAGCACTCAGTGCCTAAGTGAGCTTTACATATTCTTGTAGGAAGGTACTGTTAAGTATGGTCACATAGAGCAGTGAGGATCATGGCTGGTCAGGGATCCTGTGACGAAATAATGAGCATTTGCAGCTCTTAACACTCTCATTCACGATGAGGAATTATTTGTCCTAGTGCTCAGTATTGGCCATAGGCCACAGATTGGGCTCTATCTGTGGCCATTGCACAGAAACTTTATTGGCCAGTTCTGCCTTCTGCCTGGAAGAATGAGAAGGGTATGGCTATTCCTAGAAAAGTTGAGGCTGTGCTAAGCAAACAAGAGATACTGTCTGCTAATATAACTGGACTGCTCTCTGCAAAGAGAATCTCTTGGAATGGTCTGCCCAGGGAGGTGGTGGAGTCACCATCCCTGGATGTGTTTAAAAAAAGACTGGATGTGGCACTCGGTGCCGTGGTCTAGTTGAGGTGTTAGGGCGTGGGTTGGATCTGGAAGGTCTCTTCCAACCTAGTGATTCTGTTATTCAGGAGATTTGGAATAGAGCACTCTCTTGCTCTTTTCTCTGGTCTCTTACCCTGCTTCCCAAAATCAAGGTACCCATAGGCCTGGTCTGCAGACTCTGCAATGCACTATGAGCAGTGCAGGCAACCAGGATATTCTTTGCCCATCTCCTGTAACCCTCTATGTGTTCCCAGCCATCCCAGCCAGCAGAGCAGCATTCCCAGTGTCAGTAGTTTACTCCATTCTGAGGATGTGAGACACCTCCATCAAAGCACTTCTACACTACCATAAATGGAGTTTCTTTTGGAAGACCATTTGCATGATTTATAGTTAATAAACCAACAGTGAAGAATTTAAACCTAAAGATAATTGTGCCAAGATGTGTGAAAATTTTAATACATTTTTGTGATCAGAGGGGGATAGTTTATTGCCATGTTTCTGAATGAGTTGTGGGCAGACTATGCTAAGCATGGTGTTAAAATGATGAAGAACTAAAGAGAATTCACCTCAGCTGCTCCTGAACGATCTCCTTTTTGTTGTACTTCCCTAGAGGACCAGAGTACTGTTGAGCCAGCCTGTCTCTGCCCAATACCAGCAGGCTACAAATACCCCACATCCAAACCAGTGAAGGAAATCTGCGAAGAATCCTTCTGCCAAAAGAAAAAGCAGGACTTATTTTTCCTTTAAAATCTGCGTGGGAGCAATGTGGGGAAACATCAGCGTGCAGATGTATTCATAAAGCCTCTCAGAGAGGACTTTGTTGGGCTGGCTGCACAGCAAACCTTCTTCGCAGCCATGCACGATGCATGTGCCAGGCACTCAGAAGTGCAATGTCCCTGTGCCACTAGGTGGCAGTTTGGGGACACAGCAGTCACTTGGTTTGATTCATTATGCAGGAGCTGCATCACCAGAAATAGGGGTTTTTTTGGGTTTTGTAGTTTTTTGGGGGTTTTTTTGTTTGTTTTTTTTCTTTTTTTGGGGGGGGTTGGGAGGGGTTGTTTTGGTTTGGTTTTTGGTTGTTTGATATTTTTTTTTGTTTGTTTTGTTTTGTTTTGATTTTCTTCTGTCAGATGTAGCTATTTCTTTATTTGTACCAGCCCCTGCACCCTGGCTGCTGAACTCTGCCATCTCCACGTCCTGGCAGCAGGGAGCCGTGGCCAGCCCAGTGACCCAGCCACAGCCAGTGGGTAACACAACACAGCCCTGAGCATGGGCTGCAGGCTGCCCCTGACACACACATCACAGCACTCAGCTCCCAAGAAATGTCTTGTTCTCACAGATTTTGAAATCTTGCCCTTTTTGATGTTTTCACTGCCATCTATATTTGCTTTCACCAGAACACAAGGTTTACCGTTTCTTTCCCTTTTCAGTTCCCTTTGGTTTAAAACAGTATTCTCCTGCAATGAGACCATTTGAAAAAAAAAAATAAAAGGAAAAAAGAGAGGGTGTTTCTGCAGAAGTTCGGATTCTGGGGTTTTTTTTATATTTTTCTTCCCTCTCTAGGCCCCTTATCTGACTGTGATTTCGATTTTTCTCATTATTTGAAACTGACATCGTAGAATACCAATCTGTTCAGTTACTTCTACACTGTTTGAACATACTGGTTCTTCAAAAGCTTCATTTTTTATCTATACATAAATAACGCGGAGTTGGTAGTTTTGGTTTTTTTTCCTCTCCATTCTATGGAATAAGTTAATATATTCTTGCTTTTGATGCAAGTTTTAGTGTAGACTCCAACAAGAGTTGTGAGCACCAGAAACTGCCTGCCTGGCCAGGTTAAGGCAGGTATCTAGTGCTCCTGCCACTAAAAGGTCATTAAAAGTTGTCTTTCCTGCACCCTGGCACTGTTCTGTGTTGAGCAGCAAAGCTGTACCACCATGAGCACTTTATAGTATGTGAATTGCATGCCTCTCTGAAGGGCTGGGTTTACTCTTGCTGTCCCTAAATGAAGGAATGGGTTGTCAAATTGATGTGGCCCAAACTTATTGTGTGGCTCTACTCATTTGAGCTTTGCCATCCCCAAATCATCCATTAAACCCTTGTGGACTTTGCCAGGCTACTGCTAGCAGTGCTTAGAGCCTTCGTTTCTTAAAAAGTGGCTGTAGAAATCAGGGAGGTTATGGGCTATTCAGCTTGATGATAAAGAAATGTTCTGTTGCATTCAATGGACTTTTAAAGGTCTTTGATTTTTATAGATACACAAAAAAAATTGCTTTTTTCCATTTCACTCTATTTGACTAGAAAACTACATTTAGGGAGGAAGCCCTTCATTATATAAAAAGCTTTTCAAAATTCAAGTCTAAACATCCGATAGTTATTAAAGTCTTAAAAAATTAAGATATTCATATTCAAATACTGGAAATATTACAGTATGAGGGGCTCTTTGGGGTATTTTTAACCATCAGTAATACTACAGATGTAGCACACTTAAAAAAGGGTGGGAGAGAAATCTGTCAGTCCGTCTCTCCCCTCTCTCCTGAGGAAATTCACATACGCTTTTAAAAAAATAATTTCAAAACTTCCTTCTCTCTGCATGTTTGATTACTGTATGGTTGGAGAAGAACAGTACCACAGAAATACATCTCCCATGCACTTTTTTGTACAGCTCTTATTGTGTCTGTTATGGAAGGAAGAAATAAAAATGGCATAGAAAAGTTCCTTCTTTTTTAAATATACAAAATTCAGTGCTTTCTGTTGCTTTTATTTAACTTACAGTTAGGCACTTGGAAACTTGTGACTGCTACAGAGCTTGGTGGCCCTATGCAGAAACCTCTTGGCAGCAGTGAGTTAGGTCCTTTGCTGTGCAACAAATTGTTATGATGGCTAAAATACTGGCCCCTTTAAAGACTGAGGTTTGCCTTGGGCTTGGTTTTAAGCACAGGCTTTCACCTGTGTAGAAACAAGGCTCGTTTGAGGAGGGAGCAGGATGGCAGGTTGCCCCTGCTGCTGGGGGCCACTGCCAGCCAGGCTCCAACTTGGCAGAAGCTGGGAAAGAGGAGAAGAGTCTGGCTGCCAGTGCCAAGTGGCCCCAGCCTCCTGCTCCCGCCTGCCTTGCCCATCTTGGAGAGTCAGCCCATACATTCTGGACAGAAAACAGCCACACCGTTTTTATAATATCGTGTTCACTGCTGTGCACCTGGGGACAGGCACTTCTAAATCCTGCCACCCTCCCCGGTGCTCTGCCCTGTCCTGGTGCAGGAAATCAAAGGGTGCCAAAAACTTTAATGAGAGGCAAAGCAAGGGGTTAACCCTGTGTTTTGATTTGATTCCCAGTCAGATATTTTGGGAATCAGGTGTTTGGTTTTGCAGATGTGTAGATCTGGGTGGTGAATTTTCAGGGTTTCTGTTTGAAATGTGAGAAGGGAGGAGGGAAGACTTGTCTGCTTTTTAGTGACTTGTGTTTTCAGTAACTTTGCTGGAATTTTTGGTATGATTCCGGCTTTGTCACTTTAGCCTCACAAACTTCAAAGACAGAGGCTTACTCCTATGGATTTTCATCAGTTTCAGGTGATAATAAGGTGACAGGGCATATCCAAGATTTTTCTAGCTTTTTTCCACTCTCTTAGTTTTTTGCAGAGTATTTAGGCCATAATAGTAATTCTTGAAAAAACTCTGGGTACTAGATTGTTTACATTCAGAGATATGGTTCCTAATGCTTCACTAAAAAAACTTTTCTCCCATTTTCTCAGCACAATAAAATGCAAGAATATGATTTCATTAAAAATCTGCGAAAGACTTATCCATTCATCCATCGCCCTAGATCTCACCCACTGTTGAATTGTTCAAGTAACTTTTCTTTTGTGTGTAACATTTCCTTTGATTGACTTTATTGTATGTGACTGCTAGTCATTTTCTGGGTGTAGCAATGACTGATTTGTTGTTGCAGACAGAGCAACCATCTGAGGTTGAATTACATCCTCAGATGAACAGACCCCCATCACAGGCAGAAGAAAACAGTTCAGCAAAAAAGGTGAGATCTGCACACATTGTACCATTATGGAGTGATTTGCCTTCATCAACAAATGTGGTTGTTTTAAGTTTAAGAGCAATTAAACAGATGGTTAGGGTTATGTTTTTACATGTTTACATTCTCTGGAGGTCAAGACACTGGAGAGAACTGTGATCATATGTGACATCAACTTGGATAAATCATTAAGAAACCTCTTAGTATGTACACATTGATGCACGTGCTTTGAGACAGGCAGCTTGCCATTTATTTCAAATCAATAGGGGCTTGTGGAGCCTTAGGGAAAACAAAAGAGAGTTTGGTTGTACTCTAGCCCTGTCTCACTGCAGTTCCTCCAAATTGTGATGCACTTCTTGGTTTCAGTTATTGAGGATTAGATTTTGATGTAAACACACCTGTTTGCTAGAGGTCAGGATCTGCCACTAAATGTGTGGCACATAGACTGGGAGAGATTTTCTCAAAATGTGCAGTTTCTAATGTGTTTTTGTATGAACCTTTCATTTATAAAAAGTAAGCACTAAAATTAAAATGGCACACTTCAAAGGGGCCTGCTTAGGGATGGAGTGGCCTTAGCAGTGGCTGTGAGTGTTTTCTCCTCCTGGTCCACCACCTGACCACCTCCTTCCACCAGCCTCACCCAGAGCAGGTTTGGATGGGGGGCAAATACAGATCCTCCCCATTCTGGCCCCTCCTGCAGCCAGAGGGCACCTGCAAGACATTTACTCAACCCAACCAAGAACTTTTGGCAGGTGCTGGATGTTCCTTGCCCAGGGAGCACCATCACACTTCTTAGTGCAACAGAGGTCACAGGCAAACATACGGTGTCATAATTTTCTGCCTGTGACAGGGCTTTTTGGGCAGTGTCCTTGTTCTGCTTGTGCTCATCATATGCTACTTCTAGCCTGGCCCTGGTTTTTCCTTGCTCTGCTTTGTAGCCTTGCTGGGGAAATGAAGTCCTTCTGGTCCATCTATTTCATGCTCACCCTCATCTCACGTGGTTCCCTAAAATGCAGTGAATCCCCAGGCTTTGGGAGGCAGGTGGTTGTTGCACTGCTGACCCACCTTGCAAAGCCTGGTGCAGCAGCAGCAGCCAAAGAGCCCCTGCCCAGGGATCTGCTTGGACATTGCATACAGTATTGTGTTTGAAAGGGAAGAGGGATTTATCCTGTGCATTTGGTAGGGTTTGGGTAGTTTAAGGTAGGCTGGGATGGTGTGTTTGGCATTACAGTTGTGGAAGGCATATGCAAATTCCTCCCTTGCTGTATGGGGTGTGTTTGCTGGGAGCTGTGCCTGTGCAGAAGATTTCAGAGCATGGCATTACCAGAGATCTGTGCAATCATGATGTGCTGACATTCTGATCGGAACATCTGACAGTATTTTTAGATTTTTTTTCAGTAATTACAGAACTGTTTTTTAATGTTTATACCTTTTTGCTTATAATTCAGATTATTTTAATAATTGCAACCCTTCTAATATGAATGATTGATGGTCTTGGTTACATTTTGTATCACTCATAGTAGTCTTTTCTTGTGAGTCAGGCTGCTTACTACAGTGTTGATTTTTTCCCTTGTAATTGCTTTGTCATTAAATGTTTCCCCATTAATTTGTTGGTTTTTTTATTAACATTTGGTGAAAACACAATAGTGAGGTAATCTAGCCCAGTAAAATGTGTGATAGTGAAATTTCATCTTTGATTATGTCTTTGTTGCTGAGAAAACCTGTCTCAAGTCAATTTAACTTTTTGAGTCCTAGCTTGTTATTCATGAAATGAGGCAGTAATAGTTATATCATTTGTAAAATAGATCTAATAATAAAATACACTGAAGAGGATACATTTATATTTATAATTTAAATCAGCTATAAGGTGGTAAAACTACTTCTCATTGCAAAAGAAAGGATGTCTTAATTTATAATAATGAAAACACTTCTTACCACTGAAGTCATAAAATCCAAGACACTGCTTTACCTAGAAAACCCAGACTATTTCTTTGATGTAACTTATCAAGAGAAATAGCTGGGCTTCTATACTTCATCATGTTAATTTTGCACAGATAATTTCATGTATTTGTATTTCAAAAGTGTATTCAATGTTGCTTCATGTAAGAGAGGAGGGGAGAAGGGAGAAGGCCTGACTGCCAGATGTGTGAGGCAGTAAGTTGGGATGCAAGTGAATGATTATTGATTCTTTCCAACTGAGCATAGTCAAAAATAAATCTTGCTCTGTTTTTAATGCTTTTGGGTCACCTGGGGGCTAGTACATGTGTTTATACCCCTCCCTCCACCTCCACCCAATGCACGCTAAGCTGTACAACCCAGTTGTGAGGAGTCTGTCATCCAGATGAAGGCAAAACTCCCTCTCATTCATGGAGGGATTGTAGGAGTTACTGTTCCTTTTTCAAAGTCAGAAATCTGAGAGGCTATTACCAAATTGGAATTATGCTCTGTATGTCTTTAAATTATGAAATCTTAACCAGCTGTCAGCAATTTATGTGTCACAAGTACCCTCCAGCCTAATGATGGGACACATATGGCCTGAGTTAACATTGCTGTGCTTTTTCCTTTCAGGAGGTTGTTCTTGCTCAACCACCCTCCAAACCTGCCCGCAGGAAGCTCCGCACCGAGGCACAGGGGCTGGAGACCCCCGAGCTTTCTCCCACTATAAATGTGACTTCTTCCCTGCCAGCAGTCAAGCCTCACCTCCCAGTCCAAAAGTAAAAACCTGTACCAAGCATGCCAAACTGCAACATGAGATCTGATGTAGCAGGGTTTGCTCTTTGTATAATTTTGTGCTTAATAGTTCTGCTTCTGAGAATGCTTCACAAGATAGAGGTCTCTGAAATCTGCATCAGTCTTCTCAAATGCAGACTAAGCCTGTAGTGACTGTCAGTGGTATTTGATAGGTAGATAACCTCTTCAAAGGTTCAGTACTTCAGTTCACTACTTCAGTACCTGGTAGACATGGCTGAGGAGCAAGCCTAGCTGTTCAACCATCTCTAACACCAGCATCTCTAACACAACTTCTTTTATGTGTGAGGGTGTGTGTTTCTGCTTTGCATGTCTTCTGGAATTTTGCTCCTTTGTGTGGACAGATATGACCAAATTAATGCCCAGGAAGTTGAGTCATGAAATGCTTGATGTTGGTCATATCTTTGTGGTATTTCTTCATTGCAAGGCATGTTGGAAATAGGCTTTCCACTGATGTGAGATGAGCCACAGACCACTTGCAGTCCATCTGATAATGGCCAAACCCAACATGTGTTGTTTGCTCTTGTAAATACAGCTGTCAAAGCTGTCAGCAACAAAGACTTGTAGGGATTTCACTCTATGTATGTTTAATAGTGGTGAAGAGGGGGCTGTACAAATGGTAAGCGAAGGCACTTGAAACCCTTTTGGTTCTGTGCATCTCCCTCAGCTGAAGCACTGTGCAAATATTATACCCCACCATCATCCAGGGCCTTGCAAAAGACATCTGATTCAGTCTGATACAAAATCAAGCTGCCCAAATCAATTGAGCGTTTCTTGCCAGACTCTTTATCAGTAGACTGAATCTGAGCTGCATAATTGGAGATTAGAATAAGTAATAAGACTCCTAGGATGCTCTTAAAGTACTATTTTGTGCTTTGGGAGTGCATATTCCATAGTGGTTCAAAGATAACAGCATTTGTTAACATCTCAATCCTGTCTTGTCTATATCTTTCCTAAAATGTTAAAATGGCCACAGACATATATTGTCCTGCTTTTATTTTTTTCCCTATCATTTATTACTTTATAGCCTGTGGAGAGTAGTTTGCAGGAAAACAGTGAAGTGGAAAACTGACAGTTCACTGGAAGATAACAGCATAAAGTCCTGTCGCTGTGCTGCGGGAAAGAGTCTATTGCAAAAATCAGTGTCATCAGCTCTGTTAAGAGAGAAGAGCTAATGGGGACTGTGTGCCACTGGACCATATTTAAATAGGGCATCTGTTTTAGATCAAATCTGGCATTAAAGAGCTCTTGTTTCCTCATGTAGAACTTTAAAATAATCTATTTGGAAAACAGACATTCAATCGGTATTTTCTATATTTTCTTTCTTTTTTGCTGTTATTATCTCTCTTGCTTTGAATAGGTTGGTCCTTATGTAAAGCTGTCTCTTTTTATACCTGTCTGCATATCTGTCATTTCCTCCAGATCAGTTACCACAGGCTATAAAGCAATAAAAATTCTTAATTAATAAAATAAGTTCTTAAAATAAAAAAGATACATCCTTTATTTTAGCAGCAAAAGAGCTGAGGGAAGTCAGTCAGTCATCTTCATGTTTGTGATGTCATATGGTTTTGGTGGAAATGACTGCTTTGAATAAAAGAAGCGTTAATTTTTGAAGTAAAGAAACATCATAATCAGCAAAACTCTGAGACAGAATTTTCATGCCAATGTCCTTCAGCATAGAAAAATTTTTGTATTTTCTGTTAACCACTTCTGACTCTTTAAACTCTACAAGTCTCTGAAAAGGAGTTAATGCAAAGATGCTGCAGTAAGCTCAGTTTTGCAGGGATCATTCCTAAGCTCAGTGAGAATGCAGTGATTTTGAAATAATTGAGACAGCATAAAGTATTTCTGTCATTCAGGTTAACAAGTTTGAAATATTCCACCTGATTCACCCATCTCATTACAGTGTTACATTTTTTTTCTCTTAAATGTGTAGTTTGTACCTTGTCTTTGAAGCATAATCCAGGGTGCCAGTTTGCAGAGAGCAAAATGGGTGGCTGCTCTTCTGGCATCAGCCAGTGTTGAGACTCCTAATTGAACTGTCTTGTATTTATGTGTCTGGCAGACAGTCTTCCAAGCAGAAAAGGGCTATTCAGACTGCTATACGAAAAAACAAAGAAGCCAATGCTGTGCTCGCCAGGTTGAACAGTGAGCTCCAGCAGCAGCTGAAGGTAAGGAACACAGTGAAAATCAGAGACAAAGCTCCCTGCAATCTGCTAGGCGTCACCTCCAGCAGTATTGAAATCAGAACAAAATGGAGGACAGTAATTGAAATAAGCACAAAGATGAAAGCTTTTAATGAGAGCACATTGCCATCATTCCTTGGGTCAGGTCTTATTTGCTTCCATCTTCAGCAGGCCAATGCTCTTACCGGGGTTTTTCTGCAGGAAAAGACAGAGAAGTTTGTCTAAGTTCACAAAAGAGAAGAAAACTTAACTTGTCCTTCAAGTTGTATTGCTCTCTGGAAGCTTTCTGATGGAGCAGGGCTCTGCTGTTTTTATGGAGACCAGAAGACTTGATGGGCACTCCTCAAGCACATCTTGCACTGAGGCTTAGTGGGGTTCAAGTGCAGTCCCACTCTGGGGCTCTGAGCCTGCCCAAATGGGGAAGCAGACCCTGAGGAGTTGCAGCCCAGCTCCCACACTGGCAGGGAGCCCTTTCATAAGAACTCAGTGAGAGCCTGCCTGGCTGCCCTTTCCTGGAGCAGGGTGATGCATGTGAGCATCCCAAAAGTTCTGACACACCTCTCCTCCTGCAGGAGGTTCACAAGGAGCGCATTGCCTTGGAAACCCAGCTGGAGCAGCTACGTCCTGTCACCGTCCTGTGACTTCCTACACGGCTGTGCAGGAGCAGCAGCAGAGCAGTGTCCAGCAGCCCTGCAAGGACAGGAGTTCTGTGCAGCTGAGCAGGGTCTCTGCCAAGGCAGGGGGGAGGACTGGCTTTGCTGGCTCTCTCTTCACCCCATTACGCACATTTTGCCTTTGCAGGTGAGGAAGGTACAGAAAACAAATACCTGACTATGGAATATTTCTGAGTGGGGGTGCTTTGTCTTCTTTCCTCCCCCTTCCCAGCCTAATGTGTAAATGCAGTTTATCACTGAAATGAATAACCTGAGAGTATTTTATTTATGTAAAGAATTCCTGGTTTATATGCGTTTTGGCAGCACCTCCTGCCCTGATCATTAAGAGGTACAGCATTCCCGAATTCTTGCTTAAATTGAAAACTCATCCTCTGAGATGTGCTTCTGGATGTTACTGATTCGTGTAGGATTGTATCATTGTAGAGTACCTGTGGATTTAACATACCATAGGAATAGAACTTGCAAGATGTACAGAATCTTTATCCTCAATCACATGTCAAATAATTATTTTCTTAGTACTGTTTATTATGCAATCACGGATGTATTTTAATGTTAGAGAACTTGTATTTTATTAGTTGAAGTCATATAAGAGAACAGTAAAAAATACTAAAATATAATTATTTTGGAAATTAGGAAAAAAAATCTTTTTGAGCTACAGCTGTTTCTAATCACCAGTATTTGAGCACTTGCTTGCAACTACCAGTATCTCTGCATTCTTTTAGCATGTTTGAGATGGCTGGTGTATAGCTTTTTTCTTTTCTTTTTTTTTTTCTTTAACCAACAATGTATTTCTTACAAGAGGTTAAAAATGCATTCAGGGCATTTTTATAAAAGCTATTCTATGTACATTTGTATTAGTCTGCTTTGTTGTCTTAATAGCTACTGATTTAAGGATGTGTACAAGAACTGTACTTCCAGAAGAGGGGAGATAGCAGAAGTGCTATGTATGAGGCTATAAAATGTGAGATGGAAGTAATTGCCTTTTACAGCAGGCTTTTGTTGAGGTTCCTTTGCACATCAGTGGAGATGCTGCTGATAGGAGAAAGCTGCTAATGGCCATCTATTTTCTAAACGAAGAAGCAAAGATTAATCTTTAACCTGCGTTTGATCCAGGGCCAGCTGAATTCCTTAGGGAGTTTTCCATGGATGCAGTGTTTGGTGGCTTTGGTGTCAGTTCTTACAGTGGAAGATGACTAATGAATGTTGCTGTATTTCTTGGAGCAATACTCTTGGATTGGGTGACTTCAGACATAATAATGCCAACCCTGCTCCCACCATGGGTGTGGTGTCCTTTACTGCAAGGAGATGTCACCTACCTGTTGTCCACCTTGAGCATGACCCTGCACGTGTCTCACTGGCCTGATTTAAGTGTATGTGGTCGCCGTGCAGCAATTTTGTCACCCTTGTGGGTGTGGTGCTTGCTCCCTGTGGCTGTAGGCTGGCCCTGGGGCTGAGAGGAAAGAGAAGCAGGTTTGAAGCAGCTGGGTAACCTCTCCTTGGGGTGTGTCATGGAATGGCTGCCATGGGCTATCAGAGGGCACTGGAGCAGCAAACAGTTTTGTTGAGAGATAAGCAAGGCATCACTGGGAGTGTTTAAAGTGTTTAAAGGAAACAGTCTACTTTTGCTGAAAGGAACGTGGAAGGGGGACATGAATCCAGAAGTCTGTGGGTGAAAATAAGCATTGGCAGAGTGCTGAAAGTCTGTTTTTGTAAGGCACTAGTTTTTATTCAACTAAAGATTACTGTGTCAACAAGCAACAACTGTTCTTCTGGATTTGGGACTTCTCTCATGTGGCTGTTGCATAGCTGGGGTCAGATGGTCATTCCTGGTCAGTGACAAAATGTGAGGAATGCAAGCTTTTCTGGGAATCTGCAAAAGAGCCACTGCCCTTTTGCTAATGGTGGTATTGCTGAGAACTTATCATCGTTTGTTTCATTTGTTCATAATACTACTGAGTCATTCCTGAGATTTAATGAGGTTAAGTGCTCGCCCTGTTTGCTTTTTAGTTCATACATTGTCATTTAGTTAATAAGACCTTACTATTTCATAGGAAATAATCGTATGGCACACTTGTTTTTTATGGGTGATTTTTTAAGGACAGCTTTTAAATTATTACAAAGAAGTGTGCACATTGCATTTTTAAGGCAGTGGAGGACTTTTCATGTTTGATAGGAACTTCCTTTGAAATAATCTCCCATTTTCCCCTGAGTAGTTCATGGAATAGATGCTGTTCAAGGGAAGAGTGGAAGAGTCTGCTTTATACTGTCTTTTTCACATGTCTCCCTTCTAAAATCCAGGAGTTTCTCTCATTCAGTGGAAATAATGATATTTGCTTAGCCAACAATGAAATACTTGCTTGGCTGTTACTTTACCACTGAATTAATAAATAAAAGCATTTAACAATACCTGCATTTTTAGCATTGCAATCAAATACCCCACTCAGCTTCAATTACTAGAATGTGAGTTGATTTGTATTCTTTTTGGTGAAATGTCAGCCATGATGATGGTACAATACTTCACACATCAGTAAAGTGAAATATTCAAGGAGAGGTGTTGATGTGTTATACATATGATGCAGGAGGTTACTCTTCTGTATCTCAATGCATTTATGATAGCCCATACAAAATGAAAAAATGTGTCTCTTCTTGGGAAGCTGTTAGCATTTTGAGGTGATGAGAAGGCATCAGGAAGCTATGACAGTGCTTCTGGCAGGTGCTCCATCCAGACATGCTCATGGCTACTGTTAACAGGCCCTGGCTGGTCCAAATTCACATCTCAATCCAGTATTACAGATTTTCTTCAAAATTAATTTTTTTTTAGAAGAATGTGGGTGAAGCAAAATCATAATTTCTTGCAGAAACCTTTACTTTCTCAAACTTTGGATGGGAGATACTCCTATGTCCAAATACCATTTGGTCAGAAAGGGAGACCTCACTGGCCTAATGTTCAGGGTACTTTCTTCAGTTACAGGTGAGTGATCAGCTTTAAGTCCCTGACATCCCTGACCCAAAACAGCAAGTAAGGTCTGCCTGCCCCAGGTGCCAGCCTGATGAAGGAGTGGGATCACATTCCCATGCATGAGCTCTCACTGTCCTCAGTTTGTGCTTTCTGTAGGTACTTGGGCAGAGCACAACATGCCCAGCAAGAGAGGATAAATGGAGCAGGAGCACACGTCCTTGCATCTGAGACAATGTGCTGACCATGAGCCTGGTGCTCCTTTTCAAGTCTTCAGGGGCAAGGAAATATTTTTGTCTGCAGAACAGGGCTAGGCAGAGCACATAAAGATCTTCCTCAGAGTGTGTGTGTGTAAATGTGCACTCATGTGTCTTCCTTTTGTTCATGTATTTCTTTATGGGTCTGTTAACATTTATATCACCTGACACCTGTATTTGCTTCAATCTATGGTAATTCCGTGGTGAAAAAAGAAAAATGCCCAGCTAAGTGTAGTGACTGATTGCCTTTGTAGATAAGCCATTTTTATTTGAGCCTTTCAAAATAAATAATGACCTGGTAATTAAGCAAGGCAAACAGTTTCCATTTCTGAGTCATTCCTTTATTGAACAAACTACCTGTGAACACACATTAATCCTTAAGGATCAATGTCCTTCTCCTAATTATTAATATTATACTAGGATGCAGTAGAAACATTACCAGCTCTTTCCAGAAAGCTCAGTTTGCTCTTCCAGAGAGTTCTGGTCATGTAGCAAAACTGTATTTAGTCAAGGCAGCCTGGTTACTGGTAAATTGCTGGATATACTGTCAAAGTCAAAATATTATCTTCAGACTGCATGGCAGTAGTTTTCCTGCTGTAACTTCCATATCCACATCAGGAAGAGGAATTCGTTTGGCTGTCATCCAGACAGTTCCAGCTTGACAGATGATCAGAGGACTGGAGCACCTCTCCTATGAAGACAGGCTGAGTTCAGGTTATTCAGCCTGGAGAAGAAAGGGCTCTGGAGAGACCTTATAGCACCTTTCAGTACCTAAAGGGACTACAAGAGAGCTGGAGAGGGACCTTTTATAAGAGCATGTAGTGATAGGACGAAGGGGAATGGCTTAAAACTGAAAGAAAGCAGGTTTGGATTAGATATAAAGAAGCAACTCTTTACTGTGAAGGTGGTGAGACACTAGAAGAGGTTGGCCAGAGAAATTGTGGCTGCCTTATCTCTTGAAATGTTTAGGGCCAGGGTGGATGGACCTTTGAGCAACCTGAATAGTGAAAGGTGTCCCTGTCCACAGCAGGGGGGTTGGAACTGGATGATCTTCCTGGTCCCTTCCAATCCAAACCAATCTCTTGATTCTACAACACTGCCAAGGTTAGCCAGCATAGGGTGGTGAGGCTGTGCATGGTAAATGGCCGCAGAGGTTGGGATTTGGAAACCTTCACAGGAAGCATTTAGGATGGGCATAATGTGAAAATTGCCTGTTGGTGATGCATAGGTTGCTTTCCTCACAGCTAAGCTTCCAAATCAGGAGGAAGAGATCCTGTAAAAGTTGCTAGCTGGGAAATGAGGGATGTCTGTTTTCCAGTACCATCAGTCTTTCAGTCTTCAGCATACACAGTCCTTGACAAGAAAATACATGGGTTCATGAAACCACATATTTTATTGACTAAAGAGTAAAATATTTTTTTCAGGAAAAAAGTAAATCTTAGTGATTTAGTATCTTTGAAAAGAGATTATGTATTTTGAAGCTTTTTTCAGCTATCTTGATATGTGCTATGAACATATGCATTATGTTTTACTCTGTTACTGATTTTTTGATATAAAAAAGTTGTATTGCAAGCATTATGGTTGTTAATCTAAAAAAATACCCCAAGGCTATTATATATTTGAATTTTAACTTATAAATTAGATAGCCAGATTTAAGTAATTTGTTTTCACAGCTGCAGACTGTCCTCGTGGTACGCTGCAAAATGTATAGTGTTCTATGCTATGTCCATCTAATTTTGGAAAATGTATGTGATATGAAGCTGGGTGCTACATTAAAATAAAAGCGTCCAATGAGTTCAAATTGCCTTGCTTTTGTGGTTTATTTAGGATGTTGATGGTACAGATCTGCCAGGAGACCAGAAAGTGTGACACCCCGTGGAAAAAATACCATGTGGAAATGGCTGACCTTCAGCTTTGAAAGATGAAATCACTTACATTGGGATTGTGTGCACACAATAGAGACAGGCTTATTTGAAGTGAAATCGTATTTCCTTAGGCTCCAGTTAAGTCAAAACTTCATCTTTGCTTTGTCAGGCCTTGCTTTGACAGAATTCAGACATAACTCCCTGATTTAGCCCAAAGAGGGACATTCTCACCACTGTGAAGGAAAAGCCATTCCCGGGCTCCAACAGACCCTTAGTCGGAGGGTGGCCAGACAGGACCTGCGAGGGGACTCCAGGTGTTCCACCCAGCATCCCTGTGATCAGTGGGTTTGGTCCCTTGTCAGCTGCAAGAGCTGAAATTAAGCTGGGAAAAGGAAACCATTTGAATAGCTGCCCTTTGTGGGCAGGGAGCCAGAGGGGACAGCGTATTCTGCTCTTTAACTAGTGTGATTTTTAAGAATTATGTCACAGCTATCCAAAGAGCAGAGCTTTAAAAGAGGAAATAATGAGTGATAAATTAATTCTTCCAGCATTAAGCCATGACAAGGGATGTTTTATTGGCCTAAAAGTATGTCTCTGGTGCACGTGAGGCACAAGGCCAAGGCGTTAAAAACTTGTAAATATCCTGTGGGGAGCTATTCTCCATCAGCAGTGGGATGGATTTAGATGGCTCCTCCATTCTTAGTTTTTACAATTAGATGGTACTCTGGGGTGTCTTCATACAAATCTAGATTGGCTCTCTGTATTTAAATTCATGGTTCCAATAATCTTTCTTAAAAATTAAAAATGCGTCTTCCTGCTCCAGAGGAAAGTTCTTAGTTGAAATGGGAAACAAAAGAAGTAGGAGAAGCTTCAAAGGCCTTTCTTTCTCCTGTTTTGTAAGGTAGTGCTGCTTTACAAGACAGCGTGCTTCAGTGGGATGTTTACATGGATTTTGTATTAAAGCAGAATAAAGGAAAATTAACTTAGAAATGGAATCCCTAGGTATCTGTGGCAGAACCAGAGCTCCTTCACTTCATGGTCTCGTTGCTCCTTCTGTATTACAGTGCCCTCAAATGCACCTTGGAGCAGGAGGCCTTGGGGATGTGAGCTCCACTTGCAGCAGGCTCTTATGTCCTCAGTATCGCCTCAGTACCCACCCTTTTGGGCACACACCTGGAAGCAGTGGCATTAGCTGTGTCCCAGATGTGTTAGCTCAGTAGTCCCCCTACTACATGCTGAATCAGTATTCCCAGTTAAATCCTGGATTGGTTTGTGTTTATTGATTGCTAACTTAAATTGCACGAGGCAGGAAAAATATCTTGTCTGAGGACGTTTTGAGGATGCTTTATGCATCAGAAATGTGATGGGCTAGACAAGACTAAGGCTATATATTGCATCTAGTCTAGTTTTTGTGGGAGGGAGAGAAGATGGGAGGGAGAGGGGGAGATTGCTTCCTTAGCTTAGGCTGATCCCACAAGAAATGTTATCTTTTTACATGCCATCCTTGGTTCGTGTAGGGAGCTCATCAGTGTGCTGTGGTTTTCAATAAAACATGGGTATAACAGCTGGCAGATGTGCAGGTAATACCTCACTGCCACAGGCTCTCCACCAGGACCTCATTGCCCTCCAGAGATGAGCAGGAGCATGTGGGAGGATGGTTTGTAAGGACAGTGCAGAAGGCAATCTTTCCCAATGAATTACAGCTGTACTGATTGCTGAGCAGTGGAGACAGCCCTGCCTGCCCAGTGAGGATGGGGGTTATAAAAGAGTGGGGCAGCTGGTTGAGAGTGAGTTGCAGGTGGAGCTTGAGAACTGCTGCAGTTTGAGGATGGAGTTTGCTGGCTGTGCTGTGAGGAGGAAGAGACATGTGATTGTGCAAGGGAAAGACAGGATAGGCAGCAGGGTAAGGGACAGGTTGGGGTTAGGCAGTCATGCAGAAGGATGAAGGAAACTTGCAGAGAGAAGAGAAGGAGTCAGGCCTATGTAGAGCTGCCTATGAGGAAAGGAGTCAGAGTTGCCTGAAAGAAGGCATGAAGAGTTTTTAATAAAGGACTGACAATGGTGTCAGTCCAGTCCATCTTAACATAATTGCAACAGGAGCAGAGCAGTGATAGTGTGTCAGCCCTGTGACAGCAAATGGCATCCAGAGCCCAGCGAGGAGGAAGAGGAGAAGGAGGCAGTATGTCAGCTCTAGTAGGACCATGATGGAGAAAAAACGTGACTCTGGAAAGGTAATTATGCTCCTGGGGTGCCAGGGAAGTCAGTGTGCCTCTACCGCTTTGCACCATGCCCACACGAAAGAATAATATGCTTTAAAATGCTCCACTTGCTACCAGGTTGCTTGGAGTAGGGCTGCCATGTGATACATTAGCTACTCCCTTCCAAGGTCATTCAATTCAGTAGTTTGTGCTGTCTGTCACAGGTTTAGGTTGTATTAAGGCAGCAAAACTGGTGTTGAGCAGAGTGATACAGAGCATGCTTTGTTTACGGCAGTTTTCACACTCTGATCTGAGAGGAAAAGGCCAGCACATGATCTCACCTGGATTTGTTTTCCAGCCTCGTGCTTTTTATAAAGGACACTGTATACTTGGTCAGAAATAATGGCTTCCTGTTTCATTAATGAGTTCTTACAGCAATTTCCCTTCAGAGTAATCACCTTGGATGAAGAAGGTGTGCACTTCCAAAAGCAATTGGCCCTCCCAGTGGGTCGTAATGGGGGCACCATTCTCCACCAGCAGAAAAGCCACTCCTTTTTGGGTGTCTCAGTTTGGATGCTAAAGAAACCAGTACTGCCAGAGTCATCAGTCACATGAAGCTATTCATCAAAATGTCTCCTGGGACTAAAAAACCCTCCTTGGGAAAGGGATGTTTCCAGCATGTAGTACCATACCACATAGAGGGAAAAAAAAAAAGTTATTGCTTTGGTTGCTCTCCAAATATCTGGTTGTGTTACTCAGAAGCTGCCTCTTCAGGGCTGCGTTTTTTTAATTTATTGCTGCAAAAATCCTTGGGAACTTTGATCCAAGCATCCCAGGACTTTTAGGGGCTGTGATTTGGAACTGACCTTCCTATTTCACTACAGTCTATTTATTCCTATCACTCACCCAATCACTCATGTTAAAGAAAGTAGTAACACATACGCATTTATTTGTACAGCCTTTCAAACTGCTGCTGCAGGTATGTCGTGTTCCAATTAGAGCTGGCCATTAAGTGCACTTGGAGCAATGTCAGAGTGAAAGCAAACAAGTTGTTGGTGTTTGGGTCAAGTGTGACAGGCTCCAGGGCTAGTGCTGGCCTGCAGGTGTTGAGGTGGAGACAGGCCAGCAGCATCTTCCTCCTGCTCTGAATTTTACCACCATAGGAAAGCTCTAATTTGAGGAAGAAAAATACAGTTTAATTTCCTCCCCCTTAGTTATAAATCTAACTTAGCCTAATTCATATTTGAATGAGT